TTCTTATAAAGGAGATTATTTTTTCATGGCATTCTTTTTTAATGAGATGAATATAATCATCAATTATACTTGGTATTCTAAAGTATTTTAATTATATTCAAATAATTTAGATTAACAATCAAAAAGGAAATGAGTCTTACCTCTACACTCTTCGATAAGAACAAAAATGACAAATGTAAACTAATACTCAAATTCTCTAGCCAAGTGTGTATGTGGGCGGGTGCAGGAAGAAGGAAGGGAGGAGGGGAGGGAGAGAGACCTGACATACTCTATATTTCACCCAGGCAGTATATTCCAATCTTTACATTTAAAGTTTTATGTGTCCTAACTTATCTGTCCTTCCTTTTCTGAGCTCCTGCTCATCCCTCAAGACACAGTTTAAATTTTACCACCCAATTTTGTCAACAGTCATTAAACCAGTTTTCTGGGCCTCCAAGATATTTCTGTGTTCTTCTAAAATACTGCATTTCACACTGCATTGGATAACTGTATTTCTCCTACCAGATTTTTAAATATGTGTGCATTGTAATGCGCTGAACATGGTGCTAGGCACATAGTAGGTATAAATGTTTGTGAATAAGCAAATGAATGAATGTATGCATAGATGAATTAACACATGAATACAATAAGCATACTCTACTCCAGAGTCAGAATAATTCAGGCTTTCCTTAAATTAAATCATGATACACATTATCAATATAGTGTTTTCTATATTCTAATAGGTATCAGAATCATATTTTTTTCTAAAGAAATAATACCACATTTAGCCCCAACCTTTTAGATCTACTCCCAAGATAAACTTAGAAACAAAAAATCTGCATAGATGAAAAGCCAAAAGTAATGCCAAAATAGCAATACACACTTTAAATTAATTTTCCTACATTTACACACTCATTTATCTTGTGATTACTATGCCCGAATCTTCTATTTACTTTCTTTCATGATGAGATGTCTTTTCAATACTCCCCTTGAATATATTAAATTTTCCCAATATTTTGAAATAAAACCACCACTTTCTTTTCTTAGGACTTTATTTTTATTACTCAAGAGAACAGACTGACATTAGGGTCAAGGGAAAGACTTGAAGCTTATATGAGGATTTCTCATTTTTCAACCTACGTGACCAAAGTGTAGGAGGTAGTTTACTGAGTTTTACACAATTTCACACAGATAAAAGTTCTTTAAGTTACAATTTGTCACATGTTGAATAATAGATTCATTAACTTTTTCTTTTCTTTCCTTTTCTCAGTCTCCTTACAACAAAAATGTCCTATTTCTGTCACTCCTTATTCCTGTTGCCATGCCAAGTCTGAGAACCATAACCCCAATGGAAAATGAGATTCCTAGACAGCGGGGGTCACAGATCCCACCCTCACCTTCTTTCCAGCTGTGTGAGGTGAGGACCAAAGAGAAAACAATCTGTCTAGTTAGTTTCTTTCTATTTCACTAAACAAGAAGCAAAGAGATCTCGCTGCATATACATTTTGTGTGCACATAGAGAATATCATGGATTGGGCAGACAAGACTCAAGAGTAAAGCCTAAAAAACCCAAACCATAAATTCTCGCAATCCAGAATAGGAAGAGAACTTCCAGATATCTAAGTTCAAGCTCTTGATTTTGTAGATAAATAGAAGAGCCTGGCTCCTCACTGATAGCAGAGGCATAAGCAGAGTTCTAGTCTCCTGACCCCTGACCTTGCTCTTGTCATTATACAGTCTTGTTCTCCAGTCACAGCCACATGCCTCTGGGACTGGATACACAGAGCAACACATCATACACAGTTCAATTCAACATGGGAATGTAAGATAAAAATTCTCTCCAGTAGATTCCTAAGTATATACTGATCGCACCAGCAGTAGTTTCACACTGATATGATCAATGAGCATAAAAATAAATGTTTCATTCATTTCAGTTCATCAAGCATTCATTGAGCACTTACATTGTGCAAGGACCACTGCTATGTGTTAGGCATCATTAAATAGACATACGCAGTTCATACCCTTTAATGCAATAATGAATACAGAAATACAATTAACTGTACTATAAATTGCATGGTTATTTGTATAATGGTGGATATATAAACAAAGCATTACCAGGATGCAGAGGAAAACACAAGTAATATGAATCAGAATAACCAGGGTTCAAGTTAGGAGTGCAGTGAAGGTTTTGCAGAAGAGGCAATACTGTCTCTCATTGAATCACTGAATTCATTGAAGAAAGAACACTGCTTCACCAGATAGAGAGGGATAGAACAGCATGCCAGACAGAGGGACTAACTTGCCCACATAGATAAGTCGGACTGCACGTTTAGAGAACACAAGTAGATGAACTAGAATTACACAGGAAAGAAGCCATAGATGATACTGACTAACCAGATCCAAGCAAAGTGGTCTATAAAAAGTATCAAATGCTCTGCTAAAGAATGCAGGAATTAGCCTTCAAAGGCACGCATTTGAAGGGATCTTAGCTGAGATGGGACACTCATATCTGGGTTTTGAAAGGTAATTCTCCCATCAGTGTGGAGAATGGATTGGAGACGGGAGAAGCAGGATGCAGAGAAGCCGCTTGAGATATTTTCCCACAAAGGAACTCACAATATGGAAACGCATTCCTTGTCCTACTTTCTTCCAAGTAGTTTACAAGTCAGAGAATACTCTTCACTGGAGCAGGTATACATTTCTCAAGCACAGAAGGTAGAAGAGTTTTGAAGAGCTATTTTTGCCTTTTCTCATATTTTTTCCTTGTGTCTGGCTAGGGTTCTGTGACTGGAATGTCAGTTAGCTGTGGACCAGTGCAAGGGAGATGTCTGCTCTTAGTCATAAGAGTGTGTATGTGTGTGTATTCAAAAAGCCCTGAAAGAGGCAAACAGGATTCATAGAAAACATCCCAAAATTGTCTGGCTTTCCAAAAAACATACCAAGATGGGTTTCTCTGACACTCAGCTGCTCTGGCTACCAATTCAGGCAGTACTGTCCCTGGTGCTCCCTGGGTCTACATTTAGGGCCCCTCCTGAGCCACCATGCTGCCCCCAGTCTGTGTTACAGACCAGGGAAGATAAAGGCTGGAAGGCATCCGGAGTAGAGGAGTGGTAAGGAAGCACTGAAAGAATCCAAATGGAAAGACAAGGCTCAGCTGGAACAATAAAAGTAAAGCCACTTTGCTGAACACAAAATTCCACCTGCTCTCCCTGTCAGCCAGTAAACCTGAGGAAGCTGCCATTCAGGGACTTCATCTGAAGGTCTGGCCATAGCTCCACCAGGAGGGCACTTGGAAGGTCAAGGAGCAAGGAACAAACAGCATAGGCTCTACTTGTATTTACTCATTCATCAAATCCTTTCAGAATTTTAACTTTAATACATATCTCAAAAAATAAAATAACAAACTATATTTTGGATATACAATTAAAATAATTTAATATGTATAGTTGATATCCACATTCAAAAAATGTTTTGCTTTGGTGGTGGTATGTGCTTAAAAAAAGCTTGAAGATGACTGCAATAAACAATGACCATTCTAGGTCACACGCTGCCCTGCACACAAGATACATTTTATTTAGTTAAACTGCAATCAATTTAATTAAATCCATAATACAGAACTGAAAGTGAAAAAAAGTTGAAAACCTGATAAAAAAAGAAAATCACTTTATATTTGTAAATTTAAATGCATCCTTACATCTTGGATCTTTGTACATTAAGGAGTTGACAAAAATAATTTCAGAAGAAAGTAACTTCACCTAAATCAAGAACTGTGCTTAAAATACTAAGCTCAATTCCATGGTTAAAAACTTTTCTCAAGGAGGGACTTTTTAAAAAAGACTTAAATATCTAACCAAGTCACCCAATCTAGAGCAAGTTTTACCAAGACATAATTATGTAAGAAATATATATATAAAAATAAAATAAAATAAAAAATGGTGTGTGTGTACCATATTCAAATTTCATGGGCTGTAAGCAATTGTCACCTGGAATTCTAAGTAAAACATTGATACTACTTCCAGCCCTTGTATATGTGTATGTGCATGTATTTACTAGTACAAAAATAGCAGAGGTGTACAGTTAGAAAAAATTCTCTCCTGATTCTATACGAAGGTAACCTTCACTCTAGATTCTAACCAAACTTATGATTTACAAATTACAATTAACATAGATAAATTCTTGTTGGAGCCCACTATTTGCAATGAAAAACTAAATGTTAACTTCACTCCAAGTTTTTTGTGGGAAACTCAAGTTAGTATATAGCAATTACTGACCTATTATTCATTCTCAAATTTCTAGCAAAAATGTGTGAGGTTCTTACTGTGTCTTAGAAACTGCTCGCACTGATGAGTGATACAAAAATATTAAGTCAGTCCCCACCTCCCAAAGCAGAAGCAAGGACTTTGTCTCATTCATTGCTGTTCCTGAGCACCAAAAACAATGCCTGGCACCTAGCAGACAGCAATAAACATTTCTTCCCTGCCTCCCCCTAGAAGCTTACAATCCAGTGGAGAAGGGAAGTGAGACAAGGAAAAAGGAGAAACTCATAGTACTTACAAATAATTATACGAATTCACATATAAAACTATCTGACAATAATTTCCATCTCCCTTATTTCTGTGCACAAAGAAAACCTTATGTAGTGCAGAGAAAGGATTTATACTCACTGGATGGTCTATTTCTAGTTTTAATTACAATGCTTGGCAAAGCTTAAGAGAAGATAATTTCATTTCAAAAATAACTCCCATTCAATACAAGATAGAATTTTTCACACTTGTGAATTTATTTACTTGATAATGAAAATGGTTTGGCATATAAATAAAGCATGTTCTTAGTCACTGTGGGCTAGTATCCAGGGCTAGTATCTATTAATAAAAAGGAAATGATTTTCCTCAAAAAAGTAAAAACTTACACTTTCCTTCCAAATAGACTCAGCTCATGCTGAGCTATTTATAATCTAGAGAAAATGCAGTTGGAATCAGAGATGAAACAGAAAGATTGGCACAGGTGCTCATGGCACTTACTGATCCATACAGCTCCCCCTTCTCATTCATCCCGAGGTAGAGTCCACTGTCCACGCCTCGAATGCTGACCAGGCCCACTGCTATACTGATAAATTCCAGAATGCCTGTGAGACAAAGGAAGAAGGCAAGGACAGGTTAGACAGCAGAGTATTCACTAGAGCTCAGCATCCCTAGGAGCTTTGGAGAGGATGCTCAGTCCCAAGTCGGATAATTTCACATTAAAGAAGTATCTTCTCTTTTAAAGCTACTGCCTAAAAGAAGTGATCTTGCACCTATCTTGTAATAGCATAAAAATACTTATGAACATAATACAAAACAAACATTTTTGAAATGGCTAGTATTTACCCCAATATGCTAAAAAGTGACATAAACTAATATACATATTCTCATTAACCTAAAAGAGTTTAACTTAAGGGAAATCTTTTTTTTTTTTTTTAAGATTTATGCATACAAGAGCTGGGGATACAGGCCAGAGGTGCAGGGGGGTGAGAGGATTCACCAGAGACAGAGTGGGGAGCAGAACAGGCAGACTAACTCAAATACACTGCTGAGGGGTGCAGCAGGCCGAGTCAGGAGAGGTCTGCTGCACCATGTGGGTTGCTCCCTGGCCGGGATCGAACTCATGCTTCAACCAGGGAATCAGACTCCTGCTGCAGAGGCTGCGGATTGCTTCATAGTGCTGTGCTTAACCCCTTGTACCACCAGGGAGGACCTAACTTAAGGGAAATCTTAATTCTACTTTATAAATGAAAAATTAAGTATTCACGTGTATGGGCAGGTCAGAAAAAAGATCCATGCAGAGAATAATCTTATGTCCTTCAAAATAAGAGTAGGCGGTGCTAACCAAAGTCCTTGATTGGTTTATACAGATAATTATCCAGATCTCTATTATATAACTTTATTGTGCTCCATCTGGAAAACTAAAATAGCCTACACACATCCCAAATATTTCTGCTTAAGCAAAATGTTGATTTTTGCTGTACCTATCTAAGCCTCAAAGAAATGTTAAGCAATAACGGTAAGATCATATTCTGGAGGACAAATGTTGATTCTAAAAATGTCCTTTATTTAAAACAAACATGGAATATTATATCCCAAAATCAAATCAAAATGATCCTCTTTTATTTTCTTCTTTACCATAACTTACCTCACAAAGAATAACAATACCTAAACTGGGAATAATCCAGAATTTTATGGCCACACAGAAGCAACTTCAATTTCTCGAACTACTGTTGTTTTAAAATGATAATCAAATAATATGTTTGGGACAATACTAATATTATTGTGCTCAGTTATTTTCTCATTATGTTATACACTTTGTGTAGGCTTTGTATTAGCACATAGCAAATATTGAGCTTCTTTTTAAATATCTTCAAAAATTAAGAGTTTAGAACAAAACTAAGGCTAATAGAGTGCTATACAAGTCTCACGTAACTAATCCAAAAACAGCTACATGGATTTTTAAACAATTAATTTTCCAACTCTCACGAAGCAGACTGTGCTGCAATTAAAAGAAGACAAGAGCTATATACATCTAATAAAACAAAAGCTTCATAAAAGGGGTATTCCTAACTCTTTTGTAAGCATAAAATGTAACAAATATCTCATGTTCAGGGGTTACAAAATATCTATTTGGAACAACAACTCTATTTATTTTAGTAGAATGTGAATTGGTGAATGGAAAAAATAGAAAAGAAATTACAACTTATATTATGAATCTGATCATCTGTGACTCCACAATAATACAGCTAAGATAAGCCAATTTATTACTGGCCTTTCCCACCTCACAAAGCACATGGAAAGATAAACAAGCAATATTTCCATGAGCTTCATTTCACAGGCGATGCACTCCCTTATTGATGTAATCTCTTCATTTCATTACATTATTCCTAATTCTTACAATTAAAAATAATCAAACTTCTAGCATTTTATTACTATTAGGAGGTATATGCATGTATATCTCTTTTAGTTACCTGGAAACACACTATAATAGAGGTCATTTCTTAGAATTAGTGTAAGGAATTCATTAGTCCAATTTTCACTATAAAATGAGACAGTAAAATTTCATCTTCTCTGAGGTCTGAATAATCTAATTTACCATGATATAGATGGGTTTAATCATGAAACTAAAAGATACTTGCATCTACTTGCCCTTAAGAGGGCCTCTGACGATCTATTTTCCCTAAACATGGCAGCTCTGAAAACCAATAATGAGTATTAGCCAATATTGTCCACCAAGCCCAACAAAAAATGGGTAATTTGTGAGGTCACAAAGTCATTTGACTGGTCTGCAGAATAGAGTCCTTGAAGATTTCATCCATGCCAAATGAGAGGCCTTCATTCATGTAATCCTCAGAATAATTCTAGGCATTACATTATTTCATTTATTTTTTTCATTACTGAAGTACCCTCATTTTATGTCTTTGTAAATTTTTTGCATTACAATATTTTAATCACCAGTTTATAAGTGGGGAAACTGAGGCTTACGGATGTTAAATAATTTGCCCCAAACAGACTCCAAAACCTACATCATAACTATTATGCACATCTTACCATTGATTTTACCTCTTTTCATAAAACCATGAGTTCTGTACTGTTTTTATATAGTTATGCCCTTACTGGTAACTAGAAAATGTCATATAAATTAGACCCCACAGATCCAGTGGGTAGGACTAGAGGCAGCAGAGGAAATGAAAACCAGGGTGAGCTTGGTGAGTTCACATTATGTGGGACTTAGAAAGGTGGGCATCTCCTCTACATATAGACATACTTGCTGATAACAAATATAGCTTTGTAAATCCCTTTTAGTTACCTGGAAACACACTATAATAGAGGTTATATTCTAGAATTAGTGTAAGGAATTCATTAGTGTGCACATATGAATAACATATAGCTGTGTGGAGAGCCCTCAAACTGCTAAAAATGGAGCTACCATATGACCCAACAATTCCACTCCTAGTAATCTACCTACAGGACACAAAAGCATTAATTCAAAAGGAAACCTGAATGCCTATGTTTATTGCACCACTACTTCTAATAGCTAGATATGGAAACAACATAAATGCCCCAAAACAGATAACTAGATCAAGAAGATGTGGCATACATACACAATAAAATATTATTCACCAATCAAAAAAGATAAACTCATGCCATTTGCAGCCACATGGATGGAACTGGAAGGGATTAGGCCCAGTGAAATAAGTCAGAAGAAAAGAGAAAAATATCAGATGGTTTCACTTATAGGAGGAATAAAGGGGATCCAAACAAGGGATCAGGAAAGAAAAAAATGTCTAGCAGGCAGACTATCAACTTGAAACATTCATCACCGGAGGGGAAGGGAGAGGGATCAAAACAGAGGAGGGAAGAGCACGAGAGACTATGATGACAGTTCATGGGTGACTTGGTGGTGGGAATTTTGTGGAGATTACACCTAAGAGGAGAAATCAAACATTGTACAAAAATGAACAACACAGAAATATATATACATATATATGTATGTATTTAAAAAACACACACATAGTTTTTTCTGTTAAAAGTTTGAGTTAAGAGTTTGACTTAAAAGTTGAAAATGATTATCATATGTTTTGGAAATAGAAGTATTAAGATATGTATCTTGCTTCTTTTTCTGGCATCAAAAAATTAGCTCTAACTCACATGCCTTGACTAATTAAATCAATAGATGATTGCTGAGTGACTATTATAACCTAAGTACCATGTGCCGAATATATAAAGTTAAAATACAACCTAAGCCCTATAACCTCAAAGAGTTCAATGAAAGAGAAACATTCAATGAAAGAGTAGAATGAAAGAGAAACAAACAGATAAAGTATGTAGTGAATACTGTGAGTGGGAGATGTTCAGGGTATCGTGATTGTTCAAAGATTGGTGGGGGGTGGTCACTCAGGTCTGGGAAGAGAAGTGAGAGCAGGTTTCCTGAATGAAAATAATTATGTAGTGACCCAGGTGGAAAAATTTTCTCATCTCAAACCATCATCCATATCTCTGCGACCCTTTGAAGAGGAGTACCTCAAAACAATCACCATACCTTTTATAAGGTTACATCAATGATCTGAGGGCAAATAGAACCTCCAAAAGTTTAAGTCAGAGCTATTCCCCCAAGTGCAGAGGATGTCAATATTGTAGGGCCAGAAAAACATGACAACCTGCCAACAAGATGCCACCCCACCCAAGTTAGAATCCATATCATTCCTGGTACCATCCTGCCAACAATGAACTCTAACTTCAACCAGGTCAACTAACTTCTTTCTGTACCAGAGTTGGCACCAACAAGGGCTTCCAACTGTACTCACTTGAGTCTGGCCCACTACTTTTGTCTTCTATCCATTTCCATGTGTGTGCAGCACAGAAGGGTGCTGGATCAGTAATAGCCCAGGAAAAGGCTTCTGTGTATACAAACATTTAAATGTTTAATAATCAATGGGAAAAGAGAAAGAAGGAAAAAACAAGGAAGGAAGGAAGGAAGGAAGGAAGGAAATGAAAAGCAGAGAGGGAATGTTGGGTTGTAAATTAAAACTGTGGCCTCACATGTGTGTCATGGTAGCCGGTCTCTCTTCTTGAACAGACACACCCTGAGCATCCTCAATCAGGAAGGCCCACAGTAATTCAGTAACATGGGTGTCCTGGAGTCAGTGACTAGTATCATTGGGCTTTGCACTTTCACAGCAACCTACAGTTTCTAACAAGAATGTGTTTCCTGGGGCCTGCAGCATATGATAAATTTCAGGGTCTTCCCTGGTTCACTAGAGGCCAGGTCAGTTCCTGGGACCACTTCAGGAAAATGTTCCAAACTCACCAGGTATGAGTGTTCAGCCCTAGAGCTCTGTTCAAATGAACCACTCACCCAAAGCTGGTCAATCTCTTAAGAGCCCTTCTGTATTAGGCCTCATGTCCAATACCATAACAAGGTCAGCCATGGAAAGTAGGAGGGCAAAGCTGTGCTACTCCTATCCATGTTAAACAACCCTTTAGCTTAAAAGCCCCCAACACTTAACAGAGCTGCATTCTTCAGAAGACAAGGATGTGTGCAGACTGTGGAGTGAGGCATGTCATGAGACATTCTAAAATAGATTAACCGCCCCCCCAACAGAGGGCCCTGCTTACCCAAAGGATCCCACCCCAGGGATGACAAATCAATCATCTCAGAGTCTGCATCTGAGTTAAATGCCAGTCTAGAGCAACTCAAGCAAATCTGCGTTCACTTAGGAAATGACTAACTAAATGAGAGTTATAAGCCCAGCGATTTTTCAAGAATCTGAACCAATTTTAAAAACAGCTCCTTACACAGCTCCTTTCCCTTAGTGAGATATTGAAAAGCCAGATACACACAACAGATTATTTTGTGGAAAAAAAGACTTCTGAACTTCCATTTAAAAAAATCATATTATCTATCAAATTTCTCCCCTCTAGTACAACTTCCCCCTAACATCTAGCCCCGATGAATGGACACCCAGTCTGGGTGCAAATCTGGGATCCCGTTGAAGTCCTGCCCTTCAGATACACGACCCCAGGCCTAAAGGCACGCCAGCGGAGAAGTACTTCATCTTCCACCAAGCCCAGAGCCAATCCCTTAGTTTTCCCCATGCCAAGTTAAACAGCAGATCAGGCCCAATGTTCACTTTTTTACTATTCTATATTACCATTTCCTCAATTGATCTTCTGTTCTATTTTCCCATGTAGCTAGTGCTTCAAAGAGAAAAAAATATGAACGAAACATCTCGCTTCTCCAGTCTATTATCCAGAGACACTACTCCCAGTTCCATACTGAATCTTACCTCCACACTACCACCCCCAAAGGGAAAAACAAAGGGCTCCCTGAAGGTCCCACCGAAGTTGCCATCACTGCAGCTCCTGCTGGAACGCTGAGGCTCCCCCACCCCCCAGGTCCCCTGCACTGCCGCTGCTTTGTCACCGCCAAGCTTGCCAGCAGCTGCAGTCACCTGCGGCTGCATGGGGGCGGCAAGAATCATTTTTCCAGCACATTTCCTTGTGCCCTTTCATGTCAGGTAGAAATTTCACCTTCATTTTGCATCAAGGTGTAAACCCCTCCCACCCCCTACCCACAGCTACTCTTTTCTAGAGACTCGGAAGAGAACCCAAGGATGTACTCGGAATCTCCAGAGAGGAGCCGGGGCAATGGCAGGGACGCCGCGGTTCTGAAAGGCCAGGGACTGAAGGAGAAGGGGCCGGAGCCGGCGCGCCAGGTGCGAGGAGCAGCCGCAGCCCCAGCCCCTCCGCCTGCGACCTGAGCCCGCCCTCCCCCGCCTCCCCCAGCGCCGCCGGGTCCTAGCGCCGCCGATGCCTCCTTTCGGGCGGGGCTGCGAAAGCCGAAAGCCGGGGAGGAGGCGCCCCGCACTCACTCGCGCTGCAGAGGTTGCTAATATTGGGACCTGCGGCAGCGGGAACAGCGGGAGACCGTGGCACTGCTGTCACCCCGGGGGCCGCTTCTCACTGCAACTGGATGAAAGACTTAAATAACCCCTCCTGCCTCACCCTCCTTCCCCACCCCCACTGCGCACAAGCCACCCACTCAGCCCCAGCCGGGGGAGGGCGAGCGGCTCAGCGGAGCGCCAGGCGCGCCCTTCCCCCGTGCCCCGTGACCGACTCCCGGGCGACCCTCAAGCTCAAAGCTGGGTGCTCCCAAACCTCAGCCTGGCCGAGGCTTTCGCCCTCCTCCCCTAGATCGCCTCCCACCCAGCACTTAACCTACCGACCCGGGCGACAGTGCCTAGCGAGCCCAAGGAGCAGAGGTGTCACTTCCTTGGCGACACCTTTCTCCACCCCGCAGGTTGGGGGGGTAGGAGAGGGAGCGAGGTCTAGATTTTGTTTCGTGGTCTCTAACGGGGGGCTGTACCAGAAGCCCCCCTCTGCAGACCCAAGCACGCGCCCCTTGGGCCCACCCTCGTGGTCCCCACCATCCCTCCCTGCATCATCGTCCGCTCTGGTGGCAGAGTTACTGGATTTTTACTGACTCGATTGCGGGTAGCAAACGTCCTATCCTAAAGGTGACTGCGTTACAAAAAAAAAAAAAAAAAAAAAACACAGTCCAAGGGGGGCGGGGGCGCGTGGAGGAGCCCGGACTGGAACATCCCATCATCTCCTTGAGCTCGGTCGTGCCGCGCCGGGGGTTTTGAGGTGCTCTCTCAAAGACGGGGCTCGGCTCATTCACACAATGAAGCCGCCCCTGACCCTTGAGCGTTGAGTCCCCACCGCGCACCGGCGCGCACCCCGGAGAGGCCGGCGCGGTTTACTCCGCTCTGGAAAGCGAGACCTCAGGCCTCGAGCTCCGCGAGCGGAGGCAGCTAACAATAGCACGGCTCCCCCCGCCCGCCTCCCCCGCGCCCGCCTCCGCGGCCCTTTGTCCCCCACCCCTTCCCCGCGGCTCCGGCCTCGCCGGGTCGGGGTCTGCCACGCACCTCCCGGGCGGAGCAGAGCCCATCGGATTCCCGAGCCCCGGCTGCCTGCTTCAGAGAGAGGGAGAAGGTGCAAGACTGAGCGGGAAAGTCAGGGGTCCGACCTGCAGCCCGTCCCGGGTGCCCGCTGCCGACTCTGCCTCCCGGGCGCGCGCCCCCAGCGGCTCCCACACCCCAAAAGACCGCGCTGCCCCGGGCGTCGGCTGTCACCTCGGCCGGAGCCACACACACACACACACACACACACACACACACACACACACAAAGAGAAAGCAAGGGGGCTAAAGTTGGGCCAAAAAAAAAAAAAGAAAGAAAGAAAGAAAGAAAAGAAGAAAAAGAAAAAGGATTCCTTAATTGGTCCAACAGGTCAGCCACCGCCCTCCCTCCCCCTCCCCCCACGCCCCCCGACTCCTGCGGCGCCCTCGGCACCGTAGTGAACACCCGAGCCGGGCGGGCCGAGGGAGACAGACACGGAGCCCTTTAGGACCGCGCGGAGGTGACCGGGCGGCAGCCGAGGGTGCCGTGGCGCTGGGGCGCCGAGCCGGCACCTGCCGGCCGCGGGAAGATTGGGGTTCTGGCCGCGAGGTGCACGTAGGCCGCCCGCCCACGCCGCCGCCTTCGGAAGGCGCGGCCGCGAGGCCCAGCTGGCGGCCGCCGGGGGCCCGAGACGCGGCCGCTCTCCCACCCACGACCGCCCACCGCCTGTTGTTCTGGAGCTGAACGCTAGGCACGGCGGCGGCCCTTAAAGCGGCCGGAAAGAGCAGCACTTCAGCAAAGTTTAGTCTTCGCTTTGCACAACCGACTGCATCTACTTCTGCGGGGAAGGGCGAGTTAGATTCCCACTGAATAATTGCAAAGCAAAGAACTAGAACTTTAAAAAAAAAAAAAAAAAAAGACGGCGAAAACAACCGGAAAATTTTTCAGTACTAAATTTCAACTTGGGTCATGTGAGCAATGGGAGAAAATCCTGGGCCTCGAGTTTCTGGGACCATCCCCATCCCTGGCCTGAATCCTCCTCACCTTCTGGTATCATCTGAAGCCCCACGAAGTTACACTGATAGTTTAGGTTGTGTTTAACATCTGGCATGAAAGTATGAGGAAGAAAAATCACCACAGGACTTTGGTTTTTACGACCTAGTTTAAGTGTTGTCAGGTGGATTCACTGAGAAGTTAACTCCTTCCAACAGTCTGGTTACCCAAACTGGCGCTTTTACTTTACTTATTTATTTGGTAAGTTAAAAAAAAAAAAAAAACACATTTAAACACAAAGTACCCCCCATTGGGACGGTGCTCCTCTGACTTTGTGCTGTGGGCTCAGGGTGGCCCAGCAGGCTTGTGTGTGCGGCATTAAAGTGGACGGAGTCACCACCCTCAGGTTTGCAGCCCTCGGTGCTGAGTCACAAATACCCTCTTCGGGAAATGAAATCCTCGGAATGCCCTTTAAAATTAGCCCGCAGCTTTTGCACGCGCACACGCTCAAACGGTCACACTAGAGAGCCATCCAGGAAACCCGCACAGAACTGAATGCTACAGAAATTACAGCGCACAGGTTTAAAAAAAAAAAAAAAACTTAATAACTGAGAAGACAAACGCCCCTAATGAGTCCTCTGCCCCTTCTCAAGTAATTTCCTCCGCCACCACCAACCCCCCGGTCCTGCTGCTTAAGGAGTCTAAAATATGACTTTAGCCCTCCTCCTACCAGAACAGTCAGTCAGCAACCTTTACTGCTGGACTTTCGGACCCTTAAGGTGGAAATAAACAATACGCTTAATTTACAAGGCAAGCAATATACTTACTAGGGAGAAAGGAAGGACAAAAACTTCATTTGGGCACCAGATGATAACCACTGCCTTCAGGAAACGAGATGATAACCATTGCTTCAGGAAAATGCATTTGTAAGTTCTCAGTAGTTAATGATTAAAGCTTTAAAATCTCGCAATCAGTTCATTCAAAAGAAACTTCCAAAACCTGATCTTCCCGTGTATCTGATGCAAAAGAACTAGGAAATTGTGTTATATTTATAAGCCATGCCCTCCTTTTAAAAAATAAAAAGCCTTTCAATATAGACTTACATCAGTGCCAGAGCAGATCTGCAATTCCGGAGGCTTTTTTTTTTTTTTTTTTCCAAGCTGGCAAGACACAGAGACACAGACACAGAAAGAAGAAGCGATCCCTTCCCGCATTCCCCGCCCAGCCACCACCTCCTTGATAGTTATAATCCGAATATGTCACTACATGGACACTAAAGGGTTAATGATATACCTACCAAATCTGCTGTGGTCTTTCCTGGTTCCCTGGATAGTACCATTGGGGAAGATTTCTAAGTGAAATCCAGTCCTGCAGTATAGCTGTCTCCGCCTGAGAATCCCCTTTAAATGATCCAAGTCCGTGACTGCGGGTCCCCTGGGAAGGCCCCCTGCTTCGGACTGACCCAGGTGGTCACTTAACAAAACCGGGCTGTCCACCGGCAACACCGGCACATTCCCAAATGGTACCGCATCCTGCACACCGAAATAGTTCCCAACTTCACCTAAGGGAGCCATTGGAGGACTTGGCTTTTGGAGCACAAGAATAAACAATAATGATGGTGTCAACCCAGGAGATATTAGGCGAGGTATATCCAACTCCCCTCCCTTACTGCAGTTGCAGAGAGAGAAAAAAAAAAAAAAGGTTCCTTTCTTCAATCCATTAAATGTATAAATAAAAGTAATCTGCTGCTTCACTGGCGCAGGTTCAAGGTCAAACCACTGATAGTCTAAGAAACCACCACTTTATACTCACACACTGACATATTGATAAACATATCTATGTATCTCTATGCATAGATCCCCAGCTCTTAGCAGGCAGGAAGGTCTTCATCCCATCCGACCGTAATAAGGAAAAAAAATCCGTAGTTTCTCCATTTGGTTTGAGATCAGAATGACCATAGCAACTTAAATGCCTAGGCGTTATTATAGGGATTTTAAGATGCACGGGCTACGTCAGAATTTACGGATCCTGACTCCAGGAAGGCATGCGCTGTTTTTACTCTAACCGACTCTGCAGACATCAGCATGAATCCTTCAAGGGGGAAAAAACCTCACGATGGTGGCAGCGACAAATCTCGCCTCCCGATCCCCCCTCCAAAAAGAAATAATAATAACAATAATAAAACAAAAAGAAGAAAAAACTTTAGGCGTCCAAAGCTAGTATCCAGATTTCTCCAGAGGCTCCGCAGATGTCCATTGGCTTAGCACGACGGCGAGCGGCGAGCGAGGAGAGCCGCGTCCCGGAGCTCGCGTGCCTCCCGGGCTGCCGCGAACAGGTGTTGCCGCGCCGGCCCGCGGAGCGTTGTAGCCGGCGGAGCGCTCCTCCTGCGCAGCCCCCGCCGGCGCGCAGAGTGGCGCAGGCAGCGGCATTGGGCTGGGTTTAAGGTAGCGCCGGGCCGCCCGCGCTCCCCGCGGTCCTAGCGCCCGCCCTCGGGGAGACGCGCTGCGGCAGACCGGGCGCCGCGTGCCAGAGCGCGGGACCTCCCGGGGAGCAGCCCGGGCGCCGCTTCTCCACAAAGAAAGGTGCCCCGCGAGAGGCAGGAGGTACAAGCCCACATTCTCCCGAGACTCGGAGTTCTGCGAAATGGTAGCTGGGAACCTAGAATCTTGTTGGATGCACTGATGGAGGTGCAAACTGAAATTGGCATCTAGTTTTCACAGAGCTCTGGGATGCTGCGTTGCGAAATAAACTTAGTTGAGACTTGGAGGAGGGTTGCCGAAAGCGTGTACCGGACGTGGCACTTTCTCTTTCCTTTTGCCCGACACAGACGCCCAGACTGTGCTGCAGGTAGAACGGGTGGATGTACAGATGTGAACGCTCATTCTCCCTCCCCCCTCCCCCTCCCCCTCCCCCCTCGCGCCTGTCCCCCCCCCCAACTCTCCCGTCCCCCCCCCCCATATTCGCGCGCGGACGCTGAAACGGATGCGGCCACCTTTCGGGTTCCGTCCTGGCCTTACTGATGGGTATCTTTGGGTTGTGGCTGTGCTTAGGTCCCGCCCCGAAGTCGGGGTTCGGCCAGCCGCTGTGCGGATGCCGGTGCTGGGGGAGGGGTGGGGACAGGCCGGGGAACAGCTGCGGACTCTGAGTTCTGCTCGCGCGCGCGTCCGGGAAGAACCAGAGTGACGGCGACCACCCCAGTGGGCTCCCGCTATGCAGAGCGATCCGTGCCAACCCTCGTTCTCTTTCGGCTTGACGAACAAAAGGCGAGTGCCGGCGTCTCCTTCCACAGCCCGAAGTCTGCCGCGGAGCCCGGGGAGCCCCACGCCAGGCGCGGGGGTGGGGGACGTCCCAGGGTAGCGGCCACTTCTTTCTGCTCCGCCGGGGGCGGCCACGCGTGGACGCCTGAGCTCCAGCACCTGGGCTCGGGTTTCTGTTCCCTGCCGGTGGCCTTCGGTCCCAGCCAGAGGCCGGGACAAATAAACCCGCCGCCCCACACGGCGAAAGGCCGCAGGGCCAGTTCTGCCCGGGAGTCCGGCGGCGGCTAGTTCCACGCCCGGGACCTGCCGCCCGCACCAGGACCCCGGGTCCCCTGCGGCGCCGGGCACCGAGCGCCGCGGCCCCTGCACACCCGCTAGCCCCGCAGCCCGCCGGCGGGCCCTCTCTCCCCGGCGTCTCTTTGTTCACATTGTCTTAGAAGTGGCCTGACTCTCGGGTCAAGATGGAGAAAGTTGCCGAGACTTGAGCACAGCTCCGTACTGCAGGACGTGCGAGTGAAAAGCGAAGTCGGAAGCCGAGACTGTACCTCTGCGGTGGAAAAGGGAATCATAGCTTTTTGGGGAGGAGGGAGGGTTAAGTCTGATCTACTTTAGTAGTCAGCTGGAGACCGGAGGCGAAGAACTGGGGCTGGACCTACTCGGGACGGGAGGGTTTGGCTGCAAGGTGAAAAGGAGCAATGAATTTGCAGATTTCTTGGGCGCAGGGGGTGCTGGCGACCTGGAGCGACCTTCCCCAGCCACCCCCACCCCCACTCCGCCCTCGGTGGAAGGCGAGCTCGGGCTGGAGGCTGGGGGGAGAGGGACGAGGTGAACCTCCTTTCTTTCCCTTCCCACACCCCTTTGCCGCAGTCCCAGGTCATTGGGTGTCCGAGGGCTGACTCCGTGCGTCCTGCTCACGTGTTTATGAAGCTCCAGAGCCCTGCCCTGTGGAATCTGCAGCGGTCCCATCACCCACAGGGTACGTTAATATTAAGGGCTCAGTGGGAGACACTAGAAGGGGAAGAAGACCACTAGAACTACCGGAGTGGTTCGCATTCACCAAGGACACGGTCAGAAGGGTTAAGCAGGGGCGTTCCTGGACCACTTGGGTACATTGCGGCGGGTTGGGTTACTTCTTTATAAAACCTGAAGGAGAAACTGGCGGGGGAGGGAGGCGAGAAAAAGAGACGAGCAGCACGTGGACATTTCCACTGAAGACCGGATTGGGACAATTTCCACCCGCTGTCTCCAACCACATTCTTTTGGTCTGAATTTAGACTGTCAGCCAATGAGCAAAGACCATTTCCGCTTCCGAATCCTGCAGCCCCGTGACTGTCACTTTAAAAAGCTCTGCGGCTGTGGGAGAGAGGGCTCAGTAGCTGATAGAGCACTTTACCGATTAAAAGCAGCCTCCTCCTGGACATCTCTTTTCCGCTGCAGTTGCCTTAGTCCATCTCTTTTCATCTGCATCCCTAACTGTAGCTGTGGGAAGCTTTGGCGATTTTCCTGCCCCCTTTAATTTAATCAGGATTCGCTCCCTGCTTCTGTTTAATCATGGTTGTTTTTTGTTTTTTTTTTTTAATTACTCAAATAGAAACACTGTCCTTTTAAACATTGTCACTGATCACATCACAATTCTCTGGAACCCACCCCCTGGCTATGAGTGTTGTCCTCAAGATTGCCTCATAACTCAACCATGATCATGAAAGCCTATGTCCAGGGTATGTTTTCCTAGTACTCTTCAATTAATAGATTATATAGATGTGAAGCTCCAAGAGGAGTGAGACCTTGATTCTAGAGACAGGTGGTGTAATTGGCTCAAAACACCTACCTTGGGAGATTGTTGAGAAAAAAGGAAAAATGCATATAAAATAGGCAACATACAATGGCCACAAGACATAGAAGCTATTATAGTTGTCCTAATATTGTTCCCCAGGGATTTCTACCCATGGGCCTTCAGCAAATACTATTACTGATTTCAGTCCCAAATTTCTCTTTGGCTATCTCGTCTCAAAGTGTTTTATTCTCTCTCTTTCTCTCTCTTTTTTTTTTTTTCCTTCTTCCAGCTTGTCATCTGTCTTTTGTACTGACAATTTGGTGCTTAGACCCAGACGGAAATAAATGACTAGGGAAGTAGAAAGAAAGATGAAGAGGAATTAGTACTACAACAGAAGTCAGCAGACCTGGACCCACCTTCCCAATCCCCCCACCTATACCTTGTGATTGCAGGTCCTTCCCTCGTGGGCTATGGTGAATTGATGTGAAAGAGGTTTGTGATACATGTATGTAAAAATGACCTGTAAGCTATAATTTCTCCCCAAATTTAAGGTGGACATTTGAAAAAGGTACCCTGTTTACCTCCCTAGATTTGTTTATTAACATATGTCTCCTCTTCAGTTTCCTAGGATCACCAAATGCAAATCCCCACAGAATTCTTTCTGCCCTTTCTTCCAACAGTAAAGATACAACCAGGCCTCTATCCCTCCATCTCCAGTGTCCGCATTAACCCCACCCAAACTTACAACCCTTCCATTTACTTATTGGCTTTCATTTGGAAACTGTACACAGTGTAGGAGAGAGGATAGTGGTTTGGGAAGGTTGAAGTTTGTTCTGGCCCCATGGACTAAATTTGAACTCCACTTATAAGTGGATAGAAATATTGTACCTGAAATTTATTGACTGCTTACTTTTTCCTAGATGCTGTACTAAGTGGTTTTGTGTTTTATCTTTTTTTGAAAGATTTATTTATTTATGCATACAAGAACTGGGGTACAGGACAGAGATTTTGGGGGGTGAGAGGATTCACCAGAGACAGAGTGGGGAACAGAACAGGCAGATTGACTGAAATACACTGCTGAGGGGAACAGTGGGCGAGTCAGAAGAGGTCTGCCATGACATGTTTGTCACCTCTCTGCGGGGATCAAACTTGTGCTGCAGTGGCTGCAGGTAGCTTCATAGTGCTGAGTCTTAACCCCTTGTGCCACGAGGAAGGCCCAGTGTTTTATCTTTTTAATCCTCAAAATTACCTTATGAGGTAGGTGCTATTATTATCCCATTTTACACATGAGAAAACCGGCTTATAGCGTTGAGGCAACATGCCTGATGCCACAGTGCTTAAAATAGTGGAGCCAAGTTCAGAGATCACAGACCCACATTGGGCAAAAGCCCTCTATTTTGATAGGCATATACTTTTTTTAAAAGTTAATAGCATGTTTTCATAAAATAAATGTGTAGAAGTAAATAACTGATACATATTTTAAAAACAACCAGTTAAAAGACATAAGGAAAAATGACTCCAGCTACACCAGTTAAAAACTAAGAGAAAGATCTCTGGGCATAAAATGAAAAAAAAGTACAAGTTCATATGAAGAAATATTTTTAAAACTCTCTAGGGACACAATTGAAAACTTGAACAAATGGAAATTCATACAATATTCCTAGATAATAAATTCAATTTCATAAAGTTGCAATAATTCCTAAGTTAATATAAAAATTTACCATGATCATAAAAAAATGCCAAGTGTTTTTGTTAGAAACACTAATGCTAGAGTTAATATAGGAAATTTAAATTGACAAAAAAAGTTTGAAATTGACAAGAAAAATTAAAGGGCAACTATCCATACAACATGTTTAAATATTTCAAAGCTATAATATTTAAGACTATCATCATGTGAATTATCATATTAGCATATGAATAATTAAAGATGGAAATTATAGAAATAGACCCAAAAACATATTAAGATTTAATACATGAAAGTGATAGTGAATCAATGAGAAAAAAATGAATATTGAGTTAATGGTTTTGAAACAACTAATTAGACAACTAGAAGGATAAACCTAGATGGATAGAGGCTAAACCTACATAGAGCAAATGTTTGAATATAAAAAATAAAACCATGATATGCACTGAAAGAAACAATGATCATTCTGATCAACATGATTACCTAAGTTTTGAAAGCCTTATTAATGTATCACATAACTCAAATGCCTAAAAAATAGTTGTCCTAAATTCAACTACATTCTAAACATTATTTTAACTCTAATGGGAGAAAAAAACAAATTCAAAAGATAAACAACAAAATAGCAAAAATGTGCATATACCAATATAAAAGACTAAATTCCTCTAATATATAAAGAGTTTCTATAAATAAATAAGAAAATATCATTTCTGTTTTCCAGTGTGATTCATAAAGCACTGGGAAATCTTCACCCTTGTCCACACCATGTGAAAAATGATGAACAAACTGAACATTAGCAACTCTTCTTAGATCCATCAAAGATTTAAGGAACAAATTGCTGCCTTCAAAATTGGAAAGACAGACAGATATTGAGAATCATAGCTTACAGAACAAAAGCCCAGAAGCAGAAGCCCACAGCTAGAAATAGCATTATTCCACTATAACTATAATTGATGAATTGCTGGGGCAATACAATCTTGAGAGTTAAAAGTTCAGAAGAGGTCCATCTTTTATTCTTTTTATAATGAAGTAACATTGCATTACAATATTATATTAGTTTCATGTGTGCATTATTGAAAAATCAACGTGTATATCCTACATTAAGTTCACCGCTAAAAGTCCAATTCTTCACCATACAATTGACCTCTTTGTCCTCATTTACCTACTCCACTTCCCCCTTCCCCTCTGGTAACCACTAATTGGTCTTATAATTCAAAAATTTATTTTTATTTTATTTAGGTCATCTGTTTGTTTTCTCTATATGGCATATATGAGTGAAATCATGCAGTATTTGTCTTTGTCTAACTTGTTTTACTAAGCATGCTACCCTCCAGGTTCAACCATGTTGGTGCAGATGGCAGAATTTCATCTTTTTATAGGTGAGTAGTATTCTATTGTATACAGATACCATATTTTCATCCACCCATCAGTTGATGGGCACTAAAGTTGTTTCCAATTCTTGGCTATTATAAACAATGCTGCAATAAAGATTACCTTTTCTCTGTGTCCTCTCCAACACTTGTTTCTTGTCTTTTGGATTACAATAGCCATTCTCACCATAGTCCCCTGCTCCCTGAAAATGGCTATTTTAATCCACGGGTGAATCAGTGAAGGAAATTCTATGGGGACTGCACCTGAGGGTGGGGGAGGGGGAAGCAAGCATTACTTAAAAAGGAACAAAGATGTAAAATATATATAGATTTAATTTAAAAATAAATAAAAGTGGCATCCCCAGCCTAATAAGGAAGGAAGAACTCTGAAGGCTAAACCAAAAATAAAAAGCTTTTTTCTTCAAAAAAAAAGGCCGTTCTCACAGGTGTGAGGTGATATCTCATTGTTGTTTTGATTTGTGTTCCCCAAATAACAAGAGATGTGGAACATCTTTTCATGTGCCAATTGGCCATTTACGTATCTTCTTTGGAGAAATGTCTGTTCAAAATCTCTGCCCATTTTTAATTTTTTTGTTCTAAGATTTTTTTTTATTTATACAAGAATGGGGTACAGGCCAGATGTGTGGGAGGGTGAGAGGATACAGCAGAGACAGAGCGGGGAACAGAACAGGCAGACTGATGAAATACACTGCTGAGGGGAGCAGAGGTGGTTGGGGGAAAGTTGAAAGTTTCACCGGAAACAGAGTGGGGACCAGAACAGGCAGATCTACTGAAATACACTGCTGAGGGAAGCAGCAGGTGAGACAGGAGAGGCCGGCTGTGCCATATGGTCTGCTCAGGCCTGATCAAACTCAGGTCTGATCAAACTCAGGCCATAGCAGTGATAGCACTGATAAACCCTAGGCCAGCAAGAAGACCAGAAAATATATAAATATTTGAAGTGATAAAAGTTGAACATTTTCCAAAATTAAAGCAGTCTCTAAATCATAAATCTAAAAAGCTTAGAGAATAGAAAAAAGGCCACATACCAACAAATCTGCACTGTATATTCAAGATACCATATTCCATGTGTATAGTATAGATCATCATCAAAGACAAAGAGAAAATCTTGACAAAGGCCAGAGAGGGAGGAAATCCTCCCTGTAGAGGAAGAGGGTAAGAATGGCCTTGGACTTGTCTTCAAAAATCATGCAAGCAAAAATAGAACAGAATGGAATACTTAGAGTGTTGAAAGATACCAATAGTCGAGTAAGAGTGAGTGACAGAAAGGAAAGTGCAAATGTTCCTTAAACATTAGTAAATATGTTCTATTCCAGTCACAATAAAAGAAATGCAAAATAAGATTGTGATAAGTCATTTTTTATTGAAAATTTGACAAATATTAGGAAGTAATATTTGTTAGGAGTTAGGGGAGTCAGGCACTCTCATACATTATTGTGTAGATGAAATTGGCACAATATGAAGAGCACTGGGGTAATATCTACTAAAATTACAAATACACACATCCTTTGGCTAGCAATCTTTCCTCTAGGGATTTACCTTAAATAATCTATGCACACAAGCAAAATCAAGTGCAGAGGATTCTTCACTAAAGCACCCTTTGTAGAAGCCAAAGATTGGAAACAATCCAGGTGTCCATCAAGAATGACTGGTTAATGAGAAACCATCTTACACCAGTGAGAATGGCACATACTAAAAAAACTAGCAACAACAAATGTTGGCGAGGATGTGTAGAAAAAGGAACTCTCCTGCACTGTTGGTGGGAGTGCAAACTGGTCCAACCACTATGGAGAGCTGTGTGGAGATTTCTGGACCTACTAAACATAGAGCTTCCATATGATCCAGCAATTCCACTCCTAGGTATTTACCCAAAGGACACAGAAACATCAATTCCAAAGAACACCTGCACCCCTATGTTTATAGCAGCACTGTTTACAATAGCTAAGCTTTGGAAACAACCCAAATGCCCAAAAATAGATGACTGGATCAAGAAGATGTGGTACATATACACCATGCAATATTACTCAGCATTCAAAAAAGATAAACACATGCAATTTGCAGCAACATGGATGGAGCTGGAAGGGATCATGCTCAGCAAAATAAGCCAGAAAGAAAAAGAAAAATACTGGATGGTCTCACTCATAGCAGGAATCTAGAAAACTTAAATAAGGGACCAGGAAAATGAATAACTATAAGAAAGTGAAAATCAAAATCAACAAAAAACTAGGAACCAGAGACACTCTATGGGGGGTGGGGGACGGGGAGGGGAGGGATTG